TAAATTTTTTTGTTTTTTGTACTAAGATTTTTATTATTTTCTGAATATATTTTATCTTTAGTATGTTCCCAGTCGTAATCAATGGCTTGATAATCTTCAAAAAGAATTTCATGAAAAAGATCGTTTACGTATTATTGATCGATTCATTTCTAATAATGAAGGAGTGCGATTGGTAAATAATAAAAATTCCAAAAACAAATTCATTTCACATTATTTTTTTTTTAGGAAAGTACACATCCAACAGCTTGGTTTACACGATTTTTACGTTTGGCTAATGCTATGTATACTCATCGTCGTAATTCGAATGTATCACGTATGTATTTGATATTATGAATTATTTTGATTTACTTTTGTTTTTTTCAGAAGAATTTGTATTACCTCGAGAAGAAGCTCGTCGACTTTTTCGTGCTTATAATCATATATGGGATTTGAAAATTGATGAATATACAATACAAAAAGTTTTTGAAGGATGTTCTCGAAATGGACATGTTGTTATTGATGAAGCACTTAAACAACTTGCTAAATAAACAGATTTTTCTTTTTTTCTTTTTTTAAATATTCACAATGTCTTGTTTTACCTTTCAAGATTTTTCTTTAAATAAATATTCAATGTTTTTAATAAAAGAATGATTCTTAATTGATCGATTAGTTTATATTAAAAGATAATGACGTTATTTTGTATCAGTGTTTTATCCAGGATTTTTTCTCCGGAGGGGCGATTTGAATTTCCGAGGGATCAATCCATGTATTCGTAGCACGATTATCACAAGTCTCGGGAGGGTGAACTCGATTTTCTGGGAAGGGCGCCGCCCCTCCCCCTCCCCGGGCACCCCTCTGCATAAAACACTATTTTGTATTTATTTGAATATGTACAAAGTGTCTTGCAAGAATATATTAAACTGAAAAAATGTCAATCGAATCATATTTTGTAAAAATATGATTTCAATTTATTTTTCTCATTCAATATTCATGAATATAAATTTTAAGATGTATGTTTAGGAATATTATTCCGACTGTTGAAAATATTAGTGTATTGAATATCACCGGTGTTTTTTTTCTGCTAGCAAACGATCACTGTTCTTCTTTATATCATTTGCGATGATTTTCTAAGATTCCAAGTGACTTATAGATTTATTTATTTATTAAATATAAACGTAATAGAAATGTCGAATGTAGCAAAAGTTTTGCATGTTTTATTAAACCTGTTCAGAAACATGATAAAATATGATTGTTTTTTTTAAAAGATGCATCATCGAATGTCGTACTCAGATCAAAATAAAACCAAATCTTTATAGCGAATTGCAAAATTTTAATAGGTTACTAAAATCAAACATATGTTACATCTGATTATTTCTCCCAAGAAAAAAATCGACAAAGTCGATTTTACACTTGACCACTTAGATCATTCTATTCACCGGAAATATGCATTTCTGCATTTTGATAATTCAGACATTTTCGAATATATTTCCAATGACTTGGTTTATCGAATAATGATTTATAATTTATTAAGATCAATATTATCTGATGATTCTTTCACATTCATACCCTTATCTTTGAATAATAGTCTTTTCACTAGTCACTGCTATGTTAACAACTCTTCTAGCTATTATTAATAATAATAGAAAATCATGATGAATTGCACTAGGTTAAAATCACTTAGATTCAACATGCCATGCTCTTATTCATGAGTTGATCGATTTCTTATTGCGAGATATCGATTGAATTTTGTTTCAATAGAAAAATAGGCGAAGTTCAAAAGAATAGATATTGATTTGGTGAATAAATTTTTTTTTTTTTTTTAGTCAAATACTCTTCATTATTTCTTTATATTTAATTAAGTCTATTGAAAAAAAAAAGAAATTGATTCATTGCATCAAATTATAATCAAAAATTAGTTTCGAATATTTATTCCATGGAAATTGTGACAAGTGTTTGAAGGAGAGAGAGAAAGAGTAAATGAAGAGAAGCGTCTAATGCTGACACATTGTATCGATTATTATTTATACAACAAGGTCATCAACTCTGTATCTTTGTCTGTAAGTGTCAATATACATTTTATTTCAAGGTATATCTAAATATACAATCCACATAGACTTCTGTAGTTCATCAATAATAAATTTACGAACATTATAAAAAAAGAAAAACGATGAAATAATTATTTTAATAGATTTAAATTGATTTAAATTTACTTTTCAAGACATAAATCATTGATATTGAAGATATTCTAATAAATTACTATACGTGATAATCTATGTACAAAATCAATACAAATGATTTAAATTCGATAATGACAAAGATAGTCCTTTATCAAAAAAAAAAAAATTTCTCATAAGACAAAGTGTAAAAAATAGAGGTTTTAAGACCTTCTTATTGATGTCCTGATGTATAAGATTGAGAATGATACTTCATCATTATTATTATTATTACATATGTTGAAGTGTTTACTTCTTTATTCTATAATCCAACATTATCTCTTGAATTGTTCACTTATCAAATAATTATCATATATATACCTCCTACCTTTCATTTCAATGAAAGCATTATTATATCTTTTTTTGTTTGATCCATTGAATAATGTATAAACATAATATTACGTATCTTCATTAAACATCTCGTTTTTTTTTTAAAAGATAAGAAACGATCAAATAAGAATATATTGTAACAATAGTTTTTCTTTTCTTTTTATTCAAACATACGAAATAATAAATAGACTGTTTTATGTATGCATTATTTATTTCCTCATTATGTAAATCTTGAAGTCCTTTAATATATACATTGTATCTAGTTTATATAATACTTTCGTTTGTGTTTTTATATTCATATAAATATTGAGTAATTGTTATTCAAACCATCAAAAACAATCATGTGTAACGATTATTAGAACAGATGTGATATGGCCTTCTCTAAGTAATTCATATTTAATCTAGCGTCTTTTTTTTTGTTATTGTCATAACAACACAGACATTGTATGAGGGTCAACTAAAAATAATTAATGTATTGATGTTTATTTCTTTTTTATATCGATACAATATTAAGTTATGTACCTTATATATTAATAGAATGAGAAAACCTATTAAAATAAAATATTATCAGTTAGTACCAACAATGAACAATTCTATTCGAATATGCATAAAGTTCATTTGATAAGTGTAAAAAGATATGTATAAGTATTAAACTTAACTATTAGCTTTCAATGTCGAACAGTATTATGAAATAATGCGTACGAAAAAAAAGAATCATATTCCGTCGCACTCGAGTGCCAACATACGTACCAATTGTAGAGTCTTTCTTTTTTTCTCTCTTCTTCTCTTATATTCTCTTATCTATAAGATCTGATCTTTCAGGAAGGTCACTACCATAATAAAAAGTAGAGAAAGTGAAGAAGAAAAAAAAAAGACAATGTTATATATTAACTTCAGGTTGTCCAACAATATTTTTCGTTCGTTTTTTTTCTTCTTCTTGTATTGTACCTTGACAAAAACCTTGTGTCTTTTTTTTTTTTGTTAGAAAGATATTTGTGATATATATTTTACCTTGTCTTTGTGCATCAGTTTTCATAGTAAAATATATCAAAAAAGAAAAAAAAACATTGAACACTGTTATATAAAATACAATAAAACTAATTAAAAGTGAGAATTATAAACATAAACATGTAGATTTCATTGAAATCGTAGACATAAATAGTCTTTTAAAGCAATATATTCATTAGAATTAATGATCGATATTGACAAATTGTCATCTCAAGAACAGTACTGACTTGAATAATTATCGTAAGGAAAGTATATTACGCTCTTCTATGTATTGATTGATGTAGGATAGGAAAAAAAAATAGAAACTATTTCTAGACACTCATTAATCATTTAGTTCTTCTATTCTATAACAATAAAAATCATATCATTACACTTTTTTGTTTTAGATAGAAAAATGTTTAATTGAATAAATAGATACAATATGGATTATTTCGATAATAACGAATCATCATCTGTTAGTTATCTTAATTCAATTCAAGGAATTCAATTTGATGGACATTCATATGCACTTTATGGTATTAGAAAATAAAAGTTTATTTCAATTTTTTCTTTACTTATTGTATATTGTTTTCTTTTTTTTTCTTTTTTTTATAGATCCTAATTTTAAAATAAATGATTCATTTACAATAAATTTTCAAATAAAAACATTTGCTAATAATGGTCTTATTTTATGGATTGAAGATCCTTTACCAGAATCAAGTTTTACAATTGAAATACAAAATCGACAGGTTTTTGTTTTTTTTTTGTTATGTTGAATATTTATATTTTCATTTTATTATATATAGCTTATAGCTCGAGCTGTTGTCAATGGTCAACCATATAGTGTTCGTACAGATTTTACAAAAAATCGTTTATGTGATGGTGTATGGCATTGTATTCAAATACGTCTTGAAGGTAGTTTACTTTCAATGAAAGTTGATAAACGACATTATTCAAAAAGTGAATTACGTGTTCATACAATTGATCTACGTGGTCCATTATTTATTGGTGGTTATTCAGAAAAATATTCACCAACATATTTATCAGTTCGTACAAATTATTTTTTAAATGGAAATATACGAAATTTAAAAATAAATGAAAAACAAATTGATTGGCTTGCACCACGTTCTACAACTGTTAAACGTGAATTTTATAATTTAAGTACAAAAATAATGCCATCAAAAAATAATCGATCATTTTCAAATTCACCAACATTAAATAAACGTACATTGTAAACAATATTATTTTATTTATAATTAAGAAATATATTTATGAGAACTAAAAAAGAAATTTTTTTCTTTTTTTTTTTTTTTGTCGAAATTCATTTCATATAAAACAAAATATCATTTTTTGTTTTCTTCTTTTTTTTTTGTAAGAATAAATAAATAGTAGATAGGGCTTTTTTGTTTTTGAAACTATTGATACTTCTCAGATAAAATGATATAAATTGCTTAATGAATAAAATGGCGCCCGATAGAATTATCTGATGCAATGACAAATTTAATTGAACAAAAAAATTTATATAATTCACCATGTGATGAAATATCAAAAATAAAAAAAAATCGAGGACTTGGACCTGAATTTATTTATCCATTTATTGTACTTTTTTTTGCTACTATTCTACGAAAATTACTTAGGTATTATGTTTTAATTAATTTAAATTCTATTCTTTGTTTTGTTCTAAAGACATTATCATATTTCATTACCATATACAGTTATATTAATGCTTGTTGGTGCTGTACTTGGTGGTTTTTATCAATATGAACTTATTAAACGATTTACATTTATTGCTGATTTAACACCTGTTCAAATTCTTTCAATATTTTTACCTATATTAATATTTGAAAGTGCATTTTCATGTGATCCACATATTTTTATTAAATGTCTTGGACAAATTCTTACATTAGCTATATTAGGTAGATATTATTTTAATAGTAGAATAAATAAGAAGGGTTCTTTTTTCATAGATACTAATCTAAATTAAATTGAACTGATTAAGTTTTGTGTTTAGGAAAAATTTCTTCTAATTTGAATATTTTCGTATTGTTTCTATTGACAAATTGTATAATCAAAACGTAAAATATTCGATGTTTTAACTAAATACTGAAGAAATTTTTATAGATAATGTAATTGATATTTTCCTTTGAAGAGATATTCCTTGCACTTTTTCGGCTATTTCTAGTTCTCGAAGAAGATGCAGCCGATCCGTCTGATATTTTTACCGCGGATACTTAAAAGTATTCTTCTAAGATGAAATTACTCGTTTTTACTTTTGATCGTTCTATTTAGATTTTAAGAATGTTGAACACTGATGCTCTGTTTTTTTCGGAAAAAAAATAAGAAAGTGAGATTTTTAAAAATGCTTAAAATAATCTCTGATATCTATTGAGAAAGAATTTCAATCCCAGTGAATACAATTAGAGATGGAGTATCATCATTTGATTCTTTGTGGTTCTGTGAAAATACCAGAATCTTTCAGAAGAAATCGTGAACACATTGTTTGAAAGTTTTTTTCGTGTCTCTTTATTTTAGATGTTCTATCTATAATAAAAATTTCAAGCAGTCAGTTGTATTCTCTTCAAGAACTCACAAGAGTTGAAATTCCCTTACGTAGCCAAGATAACAAGTGCAGCGTGTCCTAAAAGTATGTTGAAGTACATAGTTTTAAGAATGGTTAAATTTTAGTCATTTATCATTGTGAATCTAAAAATGTAACTCAAATTAGACAAGTATATGCATGACGTAGACTCTACTAGAGATACTTTTCCACTCTTTTGTGAAATCAGATTAGTAGCAAATGAATAAAGTTCAGAATGGTAGACATCATCAAATATTTGTTTTGTTACAAATGTATGTCTTATTTTATGAACAATAATACACTTAATACTGATTGAATATTTCCCGATTATGACAAAGATTTACAAGGTCAATAGGAAGATATGTCCAAAAATATGAAGTTACATATTACAGATAATGATAATCAAATTGTTTTTCACGGTGGACTTATATCCTATATCACAGTTCAAATTTAATATAAGATTTTTACATAAAACTTATTAATATTGACAATTGCTAGATATAATCACAAGGGAACATTTCCAAGTAGTTCGCTCTCATATATAGAGAATCACTATAGTAATATAGCTTCTAGTGAATTCCTGCTCATAGTTACGTTTGGTCTTACGAGAGAA